CATGGCAAAACAAATTTGAAAAAGAACAGTATTATGTACAACTGAACCACTTCGCTGTAGACCTGAAAGCAATACAACAGTGTAAATCAGCTTTAATATAAAAGAAAAACTTTTCTAAAAGTTTTGACATATGTATACATTCATGACCTCATCACTACAGTCAAGATAATAAACATATCCCCCACCTCCAAAAGGTTTCTCACGCCCCTTGTAACTCCCTTCTTTCTCCCTGTCTCCTCTTTCCCCACACCTGCTGGTCTGCTTCCTGTCACTATAGATTGGTTTGAATCATCTAGAGTCTTATAACAATGCAAACATAACATAGAGTCTTTGGTGTCTGGCTTCTTTCACTCACTATAATGTCTCTGAAGTTCATCCATATTGTAGCCCCATAGCAGTAGTAGTTCTTTTTTATTGCTGAGTCGTTTTGCATTGTGTGGATAGACTATGATTTCTTTATTGATTACCTGTTGACAGATCCTGGGGCTTTGTCTCTTTGTAACAGTTGTTTTCCTAGTGCCTTGAACACTGCCTGGAACTACTGAATACTCGATAAATAATTTTAAATGAATAAATGGAAACATGTCTTTCTGGTGTCCTTCAACTTGTCTTTAAAGCTCAAGTTAGTGCTGCCATGAATACTATGCAGCAATTACAAACTATGTTTTCAAAGAATATTTGATCATATATAAGGATGCAGATAGATGTTGGGCCATAAAAGGCAAAGCCCCAGAGTGTATAATGGCATAGTATGCATGGAGGACTAAAACGAAAAATATCAATAGATGTCCTCTCTGACCTTCATTTCAGTATTTGCTGTATTTTCCAAAAGTTTGACAATGGCAAGAGATAAATGATTTTTTTTTCAAAAATGGAATTAAGAATTTTTATTATTTTTAAGAATAATCTGCCTACACGTTACTTCCTCCATAAAGTCTTTACCATCTCCCTCCAGCAGCATCAACTTCTGCTTCTGTAAAGGCAAAATGGCATGTATCAGTCAGTTCTTGCCAAAGTAATACTGCCCAACAAATCACCCCAAATCTCCATGACTTACAAATACAAGCCTTTGTTGCTCACTTTGGGGTCTGCAGGTTCGCTAGGTAGGGGGTATGGTGCTTTACTTCAGGCAGAGTTTACCTGGGTTGCTCTCATTCTTAGCCTCAGATCTTCTCCGGATATGGCCTTCTTCTAGAAGACATGAGTGCAAACACATGATGCCTCCCAAAGCTGAGGCTCTGAACTGCCTCAGTGTCCTTCATCCTCATGTTCCATGGCCCAAACAAGACACACCAGGTTCATGTCAATATGGCAGAGAATGATTCCTTCCATGGAGACCGGTGGAAGTGGGAGACTAAATACTTGCTGAACGATAATTTAATCTACCACACGACAGAAGACAAAACCCTGGTTTGGGAGGGGGCGGGTTTTCAAACTCGGCTTTGGAAGCTGGCTCCACCATTTAAGAGCTTCCTAGGTGGCTCAGACAGTAAAGAATCTGCCTGCAATGCAGGAGACCCGGGTTTGATCCCTGGGTTGGGAAGATCCCTGAAGAGAATGGCAACCCACTCCAGTATTCTTGCCTGGGAAATCCCATGGACAAAGGAGCCCGGTGGGCTACAGTCCATGGGGTCACAAAGAGTCGGACATGACTGAGTGGTTAACACTTTCACACTTGACCACTTAAGGGCCACGTGTTTGGGGGAATTTTATTTAAGCCCCACTTCCCCTTTTGTTGACTGGAGATTATAAACTGCTTGGAGGAGGGGTTGTGAGCTCTGAACAAGATGCGTGTGTGGTAACCAGGGAAGTGTGCCCACAGGCTGCAAGTGGTCAACAATGAAGCACAGCAGAGAGGCAGAGAGACCCTTGCAGGCCCACTGCTGGGGAATGAGAGACTCCTCTAGTGGGAGAGGAAGACTTCCTATTGATCTGGCCCAAGCCTTCTTGGGCCGCACTGCTGAGGGCTCCCTTCCTTTCATCCTCTCCCCTGTGTCAGACGTGTACTGAGCCAGCAGCCTCCCCTTGCCCTCTCCTTCTTCCTCAGCTCTGCCCTGCATAGGTGTTTCCCCGGGTCTCTAGAACATTTAATTCCTCACGTCCCCTTAGCGTCTGCTTCCCGGAGGACCTGGAGAGACACAGACTATCAGGTGCCTGGGAAAGGCTCTAAGAAAAAGTGTGAACTCAAGACGTTTTGTTTTTAAATGATGATTTCTTCTCTTTACTCTTGAGATCTTTGACACATATTGCATCTATAGCTTTTGCTACACTTCAAAGGTAGTCATTTATTGTGGCAAAATATGTAGAACATAAAATCTACAATTCGACCATGTTTAAGTATAAAACTCAGTGGCATTAATTACACTCACAAACTTGTACAGCCATCACCACTATCTGTCTCCAAAATGTTTTTATCACCCCAAACAGAGACTCAGCAAGATCACCTCTCTTCCTTCTCCCCTAGTCCCTGAGAATCTCTGTTCTACTTGCTGTCTCAGAGAGCTATACTCTTACTTACCACCCTGCTTAAATGAACTCAAAGACTGGAATTTTGTTCCAGTCCTTTTTGTATTTTAGGGAGTGTACAAAGTTTTGACAGTAATGGAACAAGAACTAGAAACAGGGATGGTTCCCAGATCTTTTTTAACTTGGATATAATTTTGGAGGACGTTATCATCTCTATATTTTTGCTTCACAGTAAAATTTGTAAATAAGAAGGGGTGCTTCTATGCTCCTGCACTTGAAGTTAAAGATGTCTCTTATCTTTCCCTATTGTGTCCGCTTTCTCACCTGGACTGCATGTTCTACAAACTTCAGCGCATGACTGTTTAAGTAGAAGGCCAGAAGTAGGTCAACAGATGATTGGGACCAAGGACCAAAAGAAGAATAAAAAGCCACCCTTTGTTCAATGTTAGTTAGCCCAGAAAAGTTAACATGATGTGCTATAGATGTTTTATCAGAGGGGTCTTTCTTTGATCTACATTTGACTTTCTACTCAAATCACATGAACTAGCTGATAGATTTGAAAAGAAATGTGCATATGTCTTCCTAATTAAAAGAAGCTCGGATCACTTCAAAATAAAAGCATAGCCATTACCTTCTGAGAAAATCCACAGCATGTGGTTAGGAACACGTTCCAGTTTAGACACTGCACAGACTGGGCTGCCAGGCCTGATGAAGGTATCCTAGAGCAAGCAGTGGGAAGATCATCAGGCTGGGCCTGCTAGAGTTGAGGAGGGGGAGGTTGGTGGTGTTTTAATCTTTAAGTCGTATCCAACTCTGTGACCCCATGGACTGTAGCCCACCAGGCTCCTTTGTCCATGGACTCTCCAGGCAAGAATACAGGAGTGGGTGCCATTCCCTCCTCCAGGGGATCTTCCCGACCCAAGGATCAAACCCATGTCTCTTGCATTGGCAGGTGGATTCTTTATGCTGAGCCACCTGGGAAGCCCTGGGGGAGGTTGGGGTCAACCATATCAATGGCATATCACTCACGTACCTGTAACGGGAGACCGGGACTACCGCTCAAACAAGGGAGGGACTCAGAGCAGAGTTCTTCAACCTTAGCACTGCTAATTTTGGGGGCTGGGTCATCATTTGTGATGGGAGCTGCCACATGCATTGTAGGACATTCAAAGCAGCATCCCTCATCTCTACATACTAGATGCCAGCGTCACTTCACCTGCCCTGGGAGTCATGACCACCCCAAATGTCTCCAGACATTGTCAAATGTCCCCCGGGGAGCAACATCACACACCTGGTTGATTCTGGAGAAAATGTCCATGAACGAATTTCACCATTGCATTATGCCTGTGCTTCTGCATTTTGAATCTGGAGATATTGTTTTTTCAGGTGCTTCTTCTAAAGCTTTTGTCTGAATTTCTGCATCAGAACGAGGAAATGGAAAGAACACTCTCAAGGACCTCCTATTCTCTCACATCTTTCTTTTCAATCACACCTGCCAGCGGTATTTTTTTCCTCTTCCTATTGAGAAATAACTATTGTCTTAATGAACTGATTTAGGCTTGTGATTTAATCTATTTACCTACTGCACTAACTCAATAGCTGTATACTTTTCCATAACAATGTAAAAAATAAAGTTAAAAAATAAATTATAAATAATAAATATCTTTCTGACAGATGGCTTAAACTAGCTAGACTTCATTTAATAAAACATTCCAAGGGGTTTCATTTGATAAAGCACCCCAAGACTTCGCTCTCTAAGCATCAGAAAAGTTCTAAAAGTTTATTCAACCCTCTTTCAAGAAAAAGGCTGTCAGGCTCTAGCCCCCAGGCCTTCTGTTTCCTAGAGGACTTCCAGTAGCTTCAGGGGAAAGTGGGAACTCACTCCAGACTGGCCTAAGACTATTAGGGAGCTAGAAGCTTAATTAGCGTTTGTAAGACATTTGAGACGAAAATCACTATTAGCTCAAACCACTGCTATGAAAAGTGTTATTTTCAAAACCTCACTGACACATTAGCATCTGTCTTAACTAGTCCTGAGGGAAAGAGAAAGGACTAGAAGTACCAAAAGTGATAGAAGAAATGATGAAAGTCCTAATAGGACTCCAGGTGCCAGGGAAGGTGATGCTTGAGATAATGACAGGTTTGGTAGCTGGCATGCTATACACAGTCCTGCTAACCAGAGCAGCCTCAAGCAACCAATTATTTACATGAGTGAACAATGAAATGCTTCTGTTTGTTTTAGGCCTCAGATGTTGTCTAATCCTTTAATGAAGAAGTGATCTAGAGCCTAATTTCCTTTAGGAATAACCACATTTTGCATGAAGTATATCTGCATTGACTGTTCCTAGATATTAAAATCTTTCATAAATGTAAGCCTAAGGTTGTTGGTACAAATGTCATTATGGAGAAATTGAACAAATCAAGAAATGGACACAAGAAAATGTGATTGTGAATACTATTTGTCATTAAAGAGTTACAATTCTTTTAATAAAATATATAGATAACACAAAAGATGTATTTCATTTCCACAGACATTAGCATTGATAGAGATGCCATCTCTTGACTGGGTATCTGCAAAATCCTGTGGTGAGTAGTGTTGTTACAAATACTACCATCTCGTCCCAGAATATCTAAAAAAAACGTAAGGATAAGTAATATTGTTGTAGACATGTGATTTCTTACCTGGGTGTCTGCAAAATACCAGGGTAACTAACATGGTTGAGGACACATCACTCCTTACCTGGACAAGTAAAATATCCCAAGGCCTCTAGCAGGGTAAAGGACAGATCATCTTACCTGGATACAAGCAAAATTCAAAGGGCAGCACCGTAAATACAGACACAGCCATTTTCTGCCTGTATACCTGCAAAATCTTTGGGTTACAAATGTAATCAGACAAATACCCTCTCTTGCCTGAATATTTATAAAGGCTCAGGATCAAGATCACAGTAGGGATATGTCATATCTTACCTGGATATCTATAAACTCCCAAGGTCCTTAAGCCAACCTTGTGACCATGTTTATTTGCAAGTGTCCTTTAAGTTGTGTTGACCAACCATCACAGTGATCAAGGAAATTTCAAATATCCTGTCACACTATGAAAGTGTCTCTAACTAATGTGTTTTCTTGAAATTTTCAGGCAAGAGTAGATGGTGTTCCTAATCAAGATAATGACCTTGGGAGTTTACATATACCCAGGTAAGATATCACACATCCCTACTGGTGTCTGTCTGGATATCTGCACAATCTCAAGAGCTCTAACTTTGGTACGAACATCATCATCTTATAGTTAGAGGCAAGCAAAATTCTGCCTCCAATACTGTACAGAGCTTCTCAACAGTCTCTTAATTGGAATCTACAACAACTGAAGAGATACCAGTGTTTAAGGATAATTCTACAATCTGGATGCTGGAAAATCCTATGAGCACTACAAACTTAAAGGGAACCATTAAGTCTACCTGGATATTTTATTTGCAAAAAAAAAAAAGCAGGGTCAAGACTTCGGATAGAGATAATATCTCCTCTTCAGTAAACATCTGCAAAAATATCAATCAAGAGATGATGGCCCAACTAATAACAAGATTCAATTTTGCATTTTGCTGGTGATCCAGTTAAGAGATGATGTGAGGCCCTTCTTTTGGTATTATACATACTCTTTACTTGGTATTATAAAGACAAATGATAAATAATGAATTAGGAATACATGTATTATCTGAACACTTGGGAAAATTCCATTAAATTTATGGGGCCAATCGAATCTACCTGAAAACTTACAAAAGTCCAAGATCAACACCTTAGTTAGACACAATCCTGTCTTTGACAAGAAAACTGCAAAAAGCCATGGTAAACAAAAAGTTTCTCAACAATTACGTGGTAAAATAGAAATCTTTTTAAAAATATAGAACAGGAGGGTGACATGGTTGCTCGAACTGGTGAAATACTATCAATTCTTACCTGAAAACCTAGTCACCAAATGCCATGGCAAAACAGTAACAAATATCACTTACCTAAGTGTTTGAAGACTGGATGGTCTCTGATGTGATGAAGGTGCCTGTTATCACTTACCTGGATACCAGATATGCCTTTGAGAACAACCATTATCAGGTTCACCATGATCTCTTGACACAAAGGTGAAAAAAAAAATATGATGCATGTAAAAAGGACACAATTTGTTCTACCAAGACACCTGAAGACACTGCTTTCATCATTATAAGAACATCAGCTCTCATTGAATACTGGCAGGAATCCAAGTTAGGAATATTCCCAGGTAAGCAGACATTTCTTAAGGGCACATATGCAAAATTTCCACAGTCGCTATCATAGCTAGCTAGGTTCATTGTGCTAATTATCTCTGATTATGTGAAATTACTCAATACTATGAGAAAGACAAAATTTAAAAAAAAATAAATGAAAACTCCTGGTTTCTAGAACTGGTAAGGGATCCACTGTTTCCTATCTGAAAGGCTGCAAGGAAATCATGGTAACAAGTGTGAGGAACATCACCATCACCTACCTAGCTACCTGGAGACCGGACAGCCTATGCAGTGGTTCAGGCCCACACCATCACTTACCTGCACACCAACCATGTCTCCCCATCAACAACCAACGTTAGGTTCACTGAGATTTCTAGAAGAAAACATGACAGAAATATTATGAAGCATATGTTAAAGGGTACAACTTTTTTTTTTCTACCAGGACACCAGCAAATAACCTTGGTCACTACCTCATGAGGACACATCAACTTTACCTGGGTACCTGCAGGAATCCAAGGTTAACACCAAGGTTGGAAGACTATCATTTCTTGACTGGACACCTGTACAAATCCGATGGGTAGTACTGTGGTGGGGAAAACCACCATAAGTACCTGTATACCTGCAACCCTTGAGCACCCCTATGTTAAACATAAATTTCACCTGAAACATAAAAAGTGAAAACTCACAGTCTCTAGATTTGGTAATGACTCTATCATTTCATACCTGAACATCTGTATCTAAGTCATACTGACAAGCATTCTTGACACCTGCCATCACTTACCTCCATACAGGAAGACTGGATGGTCTGGGATGTGGTTTAGGCCATGCCATCACTTACCTCAACACCAGCTGTGTCCCCCTATCAACTGCCACTGACTGGCTCGCTGCCTGATCTCTTGGCAAGTCCTGAAAAACACACTGTGAAAAACGTGCTTGGTATAATGCTGCATGTAACCTGTGCACCTGCAAGCCCCTCTGTCACCTACATTATTTTGAGATCCATCAATATTACTTGGATACTTGGAGAACTCTGAGGGTAAACCCGAGCAACACACACACCTTTCTCCCCTGAAAGGTTACTTGCAAATACCCTGTGGTTAATAAAGCCATTAGAACAATATAACAAACCGCCTGGATGCTTGCAATCTGACTACCAGCTCAAGTGAGAAACACACATTATATCTGTACAAGATTACAATAAAAAACTATCGCTTGCTAGTATTACCAGGGACAGATTAATTTAGCTTACACTTGTGCCAAACAAGGTAAATATCAGATGATTACATAGATATCTGAAAATAAGCAGCCCTCTAATGGGCTTCCCTGGTGGCCTGCAATGAGGGAGACCTGGATTCTATTCCTGGGTTGGGAAGATCCCCTGGAGAAGGGAACAGCTACCCACTCCAGTATCCTGGCCTAGAGAGTTTCATGGATTGTATAGTCCATGGGGTCGCAAAGAGTCAGATACGACCGAGTGATTTTCACTGATGTGTTTATATCATATCATTTCATACCTGTGTACTACTTAAGACCTGAACTGCACACCTGCAAAAATAATTAAGGAAGCAGAAGTGTTAGGGACACCATCAACACTAGCTTTTATGCACAAAGGTCACATGATTTAGGTTGTGGCTTCAGCGCAAGTCACCACCACTCACCTCCATATCTGCGATGTGCCTTGATAACTACTGTGAATCAGTTCACTGTGATGCTTTCACATGAAGCTGAAAACAACTGTGTAAAATGTGTTTGGTATGCATCTTACTCCACTGGGCCACCTGAAAATTCCTTGTTCAATTCTACCATTTCAAGACACATTGCTGTTCCATGGATAACTGTGGAAATCTGAGATGAATAAAAAGAGATTCTTTCCTCTCTTGCAGGGATGCCTGGAGAAACCTCAAAGTGAATGTTAACCACTGATGGACAATATGACAAATCATCCACTGATCCATCTATCACTATGCGTACGTAAAACACATAACCTGTGAACAAGAACACAGTCAAACATCCGACTTACTGGTATTGTTGGGGTCAATTTGAATTCTGAATGGCAAACATGCCAAAGCCATACTTAACACAGAGACTTGAAAGTATCATCATTCATACATATGAAAATAAGAAGCTCTGAAATGAGGGAAAGTCATATAACCTCATACCTGCACATTAGGAAAGGACTTAATGGATCACTTGCAAAACAACAGGGTAACACTCTGTTAGGGAAATCATACCCATGTACTCAGATATCTGAAGACTAGATGGCCTGGCTTCTGCAAAAGGCCCACGGTGTCACTCACTTGGATAAAAGCCATGTTCTTCTCATGGTCATAAAGAAGTGCACCATGATCTCTAGACAGGAACCTGGAAAAAACATTGTGACAAATGTGTCTATGGACACGACTAATTGTCTGGACACTGCAGATAACCTCATACACTGCCTTCACCAAAGAACCCATCCTCCACTCTCCCTGGGGGCATGCAGCTCTCCAAGGTCTATGCTATTGCTAGAATTGTTATAAATACCATCCTCTCTTCCCTGCTCCCCTGCAGAAACACGTTCACAATTGTGCCACACACTCAGTCATTACTGCCTGCACACCCAGGAATTGCTCATCACTCACAGGGTTAAAAATAAACTCTCAAAAATATAAAACAGTAGACAATCATAATTGTTAAGATTAATAAAAACACTATCATTTCTTACCTGAAGACCTGAAATTAAACACATGGTACAACAAGTTAAGCCAATCAATACTACTTACCTAGAGATATGAATGCAGGATGCTGTGATGTGGGGAAAGTGCACATCGTCACTTATCTGAACATCAGAAAGAACTCCTTTAACAGCCATTAAGTTCATCTTGATCTCCTGACGGGAATCTGAAAAACACATTCTACAATTCAAAAGGACAGAACTTGTAGCAGGACACCTTCAAATGACCTCAGACATTTCCTTCATTTTGAGAACATCAACTCTACCTGAACACCTGCAGTATAGCAAGGTTGTCGGCATTCGCAGATATGACAACATTTCATTCTGGGACATCTGCAATGTTTCATGGTTACTATCATGGTTAAGAGCATCATGAGAATCATCTGAAAATGACAAACACACCTCACTCACAGCATCAACGAAAATTCTCTCTAAAATATAAGAATGGAAAACTCATGGTTTCTAGACTTGATAAGAACAGTCCTTTTCTATCTGAATACCTGAATACCTAGGGCTTTCCAGGTGGCACAGTGGTAGAGAATCTGCCTGCCAATGCAGAAGACCTAAGAGATGCAGGCTTGAACCCTGGAGGAGGAAATGGCAACCCACTCCAGTATTATTGCTGGGAGAATCCCACGGACAGAGGAGACTGGTGGGCTACAGTCCATGGGGTCACAAAGAGTTGGACACAACTGAGCGTCTTAGCACTACTACTACCACCCGAATACCTGTAAAGAAAAAATGGTAACATCGACTGTCAGAGAAACTATCAGAACTTGCCCAGTTTTATGAAGATCAAATGACCTGTGCTGTGGTATAGGCCTATATCCTGACTTACCTGCACACAAGCCATGGTCATCACTAATTAGCACTGTTAGTTTAACCATGGTCTCTTGACATGAACCTAGAATGATAATATGAAATGTTTGTTAAAGCACATAACTTTTTCTACCATGACAGTTGCAAATAACTTCCGTCACTTCATCATTAGGAGACACAGCAACCTACCTGGATACTTGTAGCAAGCCAAGGTGAACACCAGTATAAGATAAAATATCCCTCTTTGACTGGAGACCTGTAAACATCCTATGAGTAGTACTGAGATGGGGAACACCATGGTAAGTAACTGTACTCACATAAAGCCTTAGCATTCATAGAGGTAAAAATGAACATTTCCAGAAATAAAACAAATAAAAACTGAGGCTATCTAGAAGTGGTAAAGACTATCACCTCCTAACTCAATATCTTAAACAATCAGAGTAACAGGAAGTATGAGGACACATCATCCCTAGGCTGGATATATGAAGGTCAGATGGGATTTGCTATGGTATAGGCCCACGTCTGTACTTACCTCCATACCAGCGGCGATCCCCGATGACTACCATTAATAGGCTCACCATGATGTCTTCACGTGAATCTGAGAAACACATTGTGGACAATGTTTGTGCATGTGTGCACACTCAGTTGCTCAATTGTGTCTAACTCTTTTGTGACCACATGGGCCATAGCTTGCCTGCCAGGCTCCTGTATCCATGGAATTTTCCAGGCAAGTATTACTGGAATGGGTTGCCATTTCCTACTCCAGGGATTTTCCTGACCCAGGGATTGAATTCACATCTCCTGAATCTTCTGCATTGGCAGATGGATTATTTACCACTGCGCCACCTGGGAAAGTTTGAGGAATATAAATCATTCGACCTCTAAAGATGTAAATTTCCTTGGTCACTTGATCATTTTGATACCCATTGACACTATAGGGCTAGTTGCAGAAGTTGAAGGTCAATTCCGAGGAAGAGACACCATTTTCACTTGAAGGGACACCTGAAAAATTTCCACGGTCAATAATATGATGATGGCAATGTGACAGAATATCTGCATCACCTGCATATCTGTTAATCAGTACAAGTATATATTATCTCTAAACAGAAATAGAAAAAACATCTCATTGGTAATAATCCATATAGGGTCAAATAAATTTAACTACACACATGCCAAAAACAAGGTAAATATAAGACACAGAGATTACAGAGATATCTGAAAAGGAAAACGTCTTTAATAGGGTAATGTTATATAATACCATACCTGTATATGAGTAAAGACCTCATGAGGATACCTAAAAACGCACATGGTAACACAAGTGTCTGGGACACCAACCTCACTTATCTTCATATTGAAGTTCAGATGGTCTTGGTGTGGTAGGACCCATTTTATCACTTAAATGGCTGAGAACAAGGTTCCGTTAGCAACCATTGCTAGGTTCACACTGTTCTCTTCACAGGAACATGACAAAATACATCTAACAAATGTATTTAAAGATACAATCTATTCCATCAGGACACCTACACCGAAAATTGTCTTCCATCTGGACTGTAGAAATAACAACATGTAAAGGTAGTTGAATTAATTCAAGTCAATATTATTCTCAGGAGAAACATTGACTTTTTAACTGGATACATGAAAAATCATATGGTTAGTACTCCAGTGGGAATTACATGAAAATTAAAAGATATGATCACACAATACTCAAAGGGTTAAATATTAGTTATACCTAAAACATAAAAAAATGTAAACTCATAAGTAACAAAATTGGTAGAAAAACTTAGAATTTCTCATCTGAAGATCTAAAACAAAATCATGCTAAAAAGAACTGTTCAGAACACTATTATCACTTACCATCATGCATGGAGAAGAGATGGTCTGTGATGAAGAAAAGGCAAACATCCCAACTTAGGTAGGCATGAGCAATGTCCCAAGTAAATTACCAATGAAAGCTCACCATCAGGACATACATGAACCTGAAAACACATTAAGAGAATGAATGCAGTAAACATAATATTCTAGGTGTGGACACCTGAACATTCCCTTGGTCAGTTTTACCATTTGGATGCTTGTACAAGTCCAGGACTCAATCTAATAAAGAGATACCATCTCACCTGGCCTCTTCATCAGTATGGAACACACCAACTCAACCTGCCTCGTCAGGAATAAGAGATCCATTCTGACGTCAAATAAAATCACCAGGACTTCACTGGACACCTGGGAAAAAGGTATGGGTACTCCTGGGGTCGGGGACACCATGATCAGGTACCTTAGGGTGGTGTAATCCCTCAACTCTCACAGGATGAGACAGAAGCTTTTTCTAAGATAAAGAGTGGAAAGCATGTGTTGGAGAATTTGGTAAATCCCTGTCATTTCCTACCTGAGTACCTGCATGAAAAAAGTCTTGGCAACATCAGTGTGACAACCCATCCTAACTTATTTAGATTGATGAAGGCCTGAGGACCCGTGCCGTGGGTGAGGCCACAACCACCGCTTACCTGGATACCAGCCAGGTCACGTGTGAACCACCTTCGACAAGTTCACCTAGAGAGCTTGACATGAATCTGAAAAACCCATTGGGCAAAACACGTTCAGTACACATCACAGTCGACCTGTGCGACTGCCAAGTAACTTGATGAAGTACATCAATGATGGATGCATCAACCTTACCTGGGTAACTGCAGGAATGTGAGGTCAAGGCCTAGTCAAAGAACCTTCCTCTTTTGAGCATTTACCCGCAAAACTCCCCTGGTCAATGTCATAGGTATGGGAAATCCAATGAATTGCATCCATACCATCACAAGAGCGGGGGAGAAGAAGCATCTCTGAACAAGAATATGTTCATAGTCACTTTCTCATGCTGATGAACACTGTGAGGGACCAATGAATTTCTGAAATGCTCCATGCCAAATCAAGGTCCATTTAAGAGTCTTCAAAAGATCATAAATTTCCTATCAATCTGAAAATAAGAAGGTCCCTAATGAATTCATGTCACATAATCTCACACCGCTACACTATGCAAAGAACTGAATGGGAAACCTGCAACAAAGAATGTTCACACGCTGGATTAGACACACCATCCCCATTCACCTAAACATCAGAAAATGGAATGATATGGCTGGGCAAGGACCTACTTCATCCCACTCCTGGTTGCTAGCAAGGTCCCAAGGACAGCTATCATTTGGTTCATTGTGATGACATGATGGCTAGAACCTTGAGAAATGCATTCCACTGTGTCTTAAAGGACACAGTGGCTTACCTGTGAAATAAGCTTACCCTTGCCAATAACATCAGTCACTTCCACCATGAGGGCAAACAGAAACACGACCTGGACTTGGACGAATTGAAGGTCCACACCATTGTTAGGCACAGAGTCATCTCTTAGAGGCATACTGGGAGAAATCTCCTGGTGAGTATTTCAACAGCAGAATCAATTGCCTGGACGTGCATTACCCTCTGTCACTCCTAAGCTGAAACACACTTTATACCGAAATAATAAGGGGGAGAAAAAAAGGAGGGGGGAAGACATACTTAGCAATGGTGGTGGACAATGTCATGTCTTGACTGAAAATCTGCTCCCCCCAAAAATAAAAAACCTAAAATTGAATAGGTAGGAATGCCATCCACACTTGCCTACATTGCTGAAGATGTTTGTTTGCAGGCAGCTAAAGGCCCACATCATGACTGACCTGGACACCAGCAAGGTCCCCAGAGAATGACCATTGGAAGGTTCCTCCCTTGAAAGGAACCTGCAAAACACATGAAGAGATCCGTGTAAAGGGTCACGATTTGTGTGACCAGGACACCTGAAAACCACCCTGGTCATTTCTGTCCTTAGGCAATCAACGTTACTTGAGTGCTTGTAGGACTCCGAGGTCAAGACCCCTGTGGGGTTAATTACACTTCTTTACAGGGTACCTGCAGAATGTCCATGGTCACTACAGTGCTTGGCATATCATAAGAAATACCTGACCTGTGTCATGCCTCACAACTCTCAGAGTTAAACATTTTTCTCTAAGGAAGGAAAATGGAAGCCTAAAGATTTTAAGAACGAGTAAAGTATACCTCGTTACCTGAGGAACAGCAAAGAAGTCATGGTCACAGTGGGAGGGTCACAATGCTCGCTCAGCTATGCATGTGCAGTTCAGGGAACCTGTGCTGAGGGTTAGCCCACATCATCCACATACCTGATGCGCCTCTTCAACCAGGACACTTGGGTCATGTCATCATTAGGGAATACATCCATTCTACCTGGAGATTTTCCAAGGTCACGGCCCAGGTTGGAAAGCCATAGTTGGCTCGCTGGACACCTATTCAAAGCCTATGGGCAGCACCGTGATGGCAAAACCATGATCAATATCTGCATATGTGCAAACGTTCAATGCTTAAGAGTATCCAACTTCTTCCAAAAGAGAAACAGGGCAAAGTGTTGCATTTTTACATAACAAAAGATACGCTTGGGCTTCCCTGATACCTCAGTTGGTAAAGAATCCGCCTGCAATGCAGGAGACCCTGGTTCAATTCCTGGGTAGGGAAGATCCTCTGGAAAAGGGACAGGCTAACCACACTAGTATTCCTGGGCTTCCCTTGTGGCTCAGCTGGTAAAGAAACTGCCTGCAACACGCAAGACCTGGGTTCAATCCCTGGCTTGGGAAGATCGCTTGGAGAAGGGAAAGGCTCCCCACTCCAGTATTCTGGCCTGGAGAATTCCATGGACTGGATTGTCCATGGGGTCACAAGAGTCAGACATTACTGAGTCACTTTCACTTTCAAAGACACTTCTTTCTTACTCTGATCCCTGAAAGAAAAAGTTAGGGTAACGAGAAGGGTTAGGACACACCATCACCTATACAGACATCTGGACATCAGATAGCCTGCACTGGGGCTTAGGCCCACTGCGTCCCTTAACCTGCATACCAACCAGGTTCCACCTGCAAATCTTTCCTTCCTTCACTGCTATGTTGAATACATACCGAACACTAAAAAGAAACAAAGCAAAATGTCATTTCTACCAGTGTCATCAGGGAAACATGAAATTCCCCATTGATGACATGCCAGAAACAGTCAACACAAAAGACTGGAATCATGATATACAGAGATATCTCACAATCAAAACATCTTTCATCAGCTTATATCACACGAACTCATACTGGGAGAACAAGGATGGGAACATGAGGCCTGCAGAAAAAAAAGAGAGAGAGAAAAAGAAGACATAATCAGAGATTGTAGGGACAGCATCCTTATTTATCTCGATAGGAAAGTCCAGAGGGTCTGCAGTCTGGTGAGATCCACTTTAACACTTACCTGTTAAGCAGTCTCTTCTGGGTGAATTGGCTCACCCTGTTCTCCTCTCCGGATCCTGAAGAAACATATGCAACCGATGTGTTTAGCATGAATCTTGTTCTACTAGGACGCCTGCCACTGACCCTTTTCACCTCCTTTATTACACATCACAGCCACTCTACCTGCATCTTTGCAGTCATTCATGGTCACCACTGTGGTCAGGAGAGACCAGGTGTACTTCTCTGGATATGTGCAAAAATGCTAGAGTTACTACATGGCAGAGACTTCAGGACAACTACCTGGACAGAGTCCTCATTACCTACAGGATGAAACAGCTGGTTTCGCTAAACTGGAAATAGGGTAAACCTAGGGTTAATACAGTTAGTAAGGACTCTTAGCATTTCTTACCTGAATA